TTAAATTACTCGGAGTTAGAGGGAACCTCCACAGTATAGGAAGCTAATTGCACATGAAAAGCAACTTAGTAGTGGATGATATTTGCCTCCTTAACATTAAAGGCAGAAGCATCACAAATTTTTTGTCTTTCTTATCTGTATTTTTATTGTGTACAGCCTCAGTCACTCCAGAGGAGGGTCATTTCAGTCTTGGTAGTAGACTGTAATAGTAGTCCAAAGACTTGCACTGTACAGTGGAAGATCTGTCTTTTTGAGAGCACAGAGCTTTGGGGAATGAGTTCAAATGAAGTACTTCCCTGTTTATCCAATCTGAAAGAATCTTGCAGATCTTTCTGGATTTTATTAGACGAAATTTGCTAATTTTTTTTAATTTTAAATTTTAATTTAAAAATCTGTTTTTACTCCAGAAAGTAAAGCTGTTTCCCATGTTTGTGGTAAAATGTACTTCATACTTCTCTTTCACATGGACAACCTCAGGCTCCTGGATTTCCCAAGGAGGCCAAATGCAGCATTAATGTGCTGGAAAACCTGACTTCTGTGAAGCATGTATCAGTCATTCCTCCTGAGCCTTAACAGACAGCAGCTGAAGCAATAGGGGCCAGAACCATCCCAACAGCTTGCACTGCAAAGTAAGGAGGAAGAATAACCTCTCCACTTCACTAGGAAGCAATTCGTCTCTAGGACTGTTGTACACAATACCAAACTCAACTATTAGTAGTAAGTAATTCTTTGAGGGTTTGAAAGTGGATTTAGATCACCAGCTTAGCCATTTCAGACAGAATACAAGAGATAAGAGGCGCTCTCATATCCCAGGTCAAAAAACACTGAGATCCTCTCCATCTTCTAAGCCAGCAGGAAAAGACACGCACTTGTGATCTGTTCAAGAAGTTTTCTCCAATACCGCAAATGGAAAAACATCCTTGGTAGTGTGAAGTAAAGATGCAGGTATGTTGATAGCGTGAACAGCTGTATGAACAATACTTCTCAAATATTCCCATTTAGTAATTAACGAATTTTCAGTTCAAAAAATGCCCTTGTAATTAATTCTGAAAGCCTTTTCTTGAATGTGTTTTGCTTATGAGAGGTACACTTTTTTCTTACTGCTCCAAAATCAGGTCACTAGTTTCCGTGAAAAAAATTTACATTGCAATGTTTACAAAAAGTTCTTCATGCTCTGTTCTAGACGGTGATTTGTTAATTTTCATGTACCTTCAGGCATTAATATGCAAAAAAAAGGTGTAGATCTTTTATACTGCAGAAGAAGGAAAAAAGGTCATATTCTCTAAAGTAGAAAACTCAAACAGTAAGGGTAAAAATGTTAACAGAGAGGTATGGATATGTACAATACATGAATTTCACTCTTTTTATGAGCATTTTATTAAATGAAGCAAAGCAAGAATATTTCTTCAGCTCTATTAATGCAAACCTTTGAACCCCTGTTCTTGATGTGTTAAATTTGCTATATTTCTGAAAGAAAACAAAATAAAAAATGGTTCCATTTTGTTTACAAATAAAACACCACACAAAATAATGTTCAAAATGGTTCTCAGTCATTTAGACAGAAATTGGGGAAGACTATCAATCACTTTAGAAATACTTGCAAAAAATTTTGAGATGGATGAATCGGCAATTTTCAGACTTGTTTTTGTGTTTCTGGTAGCACTGAACTTTTTCCATTTCTATCAATTATGCCAAGTAATAGCTGTGTTAAACTCTTAGTTAAATTCTACCATTAAAAGTAGACTTGGAATATTTCTGATGATTCACTTCCTTCTGAATTTTTCCACCATTTTCCCTTGTGTCGCGTCATATTTGTTGCACTGGTAGTAAATGAAAACAGTAATAGAATTTGAAGAGCAATCTTTAATCTCTAAGTGACCATGAATCATTTTAGTCCAATAAGACCAATTCAACTTTCTTAGTTTTACTATGTCAGTTGTCATGAAGAACCATTATTAATGGATTGTGAGGTTATACATGATGAAATAATGGAAAATTGAAAATCTGCTGGTTTTTTCTGTGTACTAAAATAGCGTTTCCACCTTCTATTCTACCTTCCTAAATCATTTGATATAAAATATATTTTAAATATATTTAAAAATTCAGCATTAAACTTTTTGTTTTCTCAACTGAGATGCTTTGTATGTGTTTTGACAGAGCTCGAAATCTGACTTCTTGTCAGAGAAAATTGAAATCCTTAGCCTGGAGGGTTTTTAAACCAAATTACACCTCACAGTTTAGAATTTTTTTCCCCAAAAAAACTAGACACGTTTTAATTACTATTCCTATATTTTGCATATATGACCAATCCTCAGTGCTCGTGCCTAAATAACAGAGGTGGTCAGTAGATGTCTGATTTATTTCTTGTCAACACCAGCTGCCTGGATAACACTGGAAAGCCTCTGCCTTTGAAGTGACAGAGAAGAAGAAAGGCTGAGATGCTTTGCTTGTTATGGCTGTGTTTTAGTCTTTATTGCAAACTTTGTTTGTGACAACTACCTGACATTCAGCATTCACCTAGTAAAATTTCTTTTGTTTTTCAAAGTGACTTGGACTTTTCAGTGCACTAATATTTGTATATCCTTTGTATCTCCAGGACAGAGATTGCCTGCTTTAATAGAGCACAACATTTTGATTTGCACTTTGCTGCATACTTAAAGAACCAGAAGCAGTGTCTGATCTTCGGGAATACAAAGGAAAATCTAGTCATTTTTTACTACATATGTAATGTCCCAGTTATCTATGATATCTTTGGTTTATATCTCCAGTTATTCTCAGTTTGCACGTACTGTGAATGCGAAAACACTCATTAGCCATATACATTCCCCTATCTAAATCTTATTTAGCTCATATATTGTGGCAATGAATTCAAGAGGCAAATTTTATGGTATATTAAAGAAACCCTGTAATTTGTCTCACATTTCTTGCCTTTAACTTTTTACTGGATGCAATTTATTCTTTTGCTGTAAGAGTTGGCAAACATGCTTTTCTCATCTATTTCCTCTTTTGCATTTATTATGTTCAGTAGCCGTAATTAATCTCCTCTGCAAGGCAAACAAATCTAATCCTCTCAATGTTCCAGAGTACTTTTTGTATCTCTGATTATTTCTTGTCACCTAACTGCACACGGTATTTTATTTGCATTTAACTGCGCACGGCATTTTATTTGCATTTGGTAAACAACTTGGTTTAACTATCTCATTCATTTCTGTGCAGTCCATTTCAGGGAGTGGCATAGCACTGGCTTTTGTATTTTTGTGTCCTTCCTCATTAGCTCTATTTGCTTTTCATTTTTTCCACCTAAGAGCTAAAATTTAGCTTCAAATCCAAACCAATAACCAATTATCAGCAATGCACACTGGTTCTTTAAAATTTCCTAACCCAGCATTTTGTTTCTAAAGATTCGTTTTCATCTGTCATATGCCTGTGAAAGGACCACCTAAGGTATTCAAGTTTCTCTAGCACTTGCCTTAAGCAGAATATCTGAAGTGAAGATAATACCTAAACAGAAGTTTTAGTAGCTTACTGCCAAGTCTGTCACTATACACACATCCTATCTTGTGAAGCCCCAGTCACTGCTCACTTTCAACTCTTCTGCATGGGGCTTCACAGGCTCCTGTGGGCCCAAACCTGCCTGCAGCTCTTGTAATCTCTCTGGCACTGTTCTTGGATGAATTTCAGACTTCCCAGGTCAGTACCACAACTGTTTCCGTGACCAATTCTGACTTCTTAGCAACTGAGGATAAATACCTTAAAAACTTGTAAAAAGCACTGAGGAAACTGGAGTTTTATCTCCATCACTATTTGGAGATTATGAGTTTAGAAGCCATTTTGAATGTTCTGCATTTACCAGCACAAATTCTGTGCCAATACAGAGTCAACTTGGCAGGCTAGCATAATTTTATAATAGCGTCTTATTAACAGCCCTTACAGGCAAGTGAATCAAGCATTGACAATTACAACATTTACTGGTATAGTGTCCCACAAGGTGCATATTTTGAAACAGTAAGTTGAAGTCTGCCCACCCTCTCTTCTTTCACACTAAGTAGGCTTACAGGCTTACATTTTTTCGCTCCCACAAACCTAGCCCAAAAGTCCAGACTACGAAAACAGCTATCAGCTCTCCCTTCCTCACACAATTCGCTCACACATCCTCTAATGTGCAAAAAAATTTTTGACTTGTTGTGGTTGTATAAATTGGCTGATTGTCTAGTAGAAACAGTACAGCATTTCTAGGATTGTTGTACCATGTTACAGGAACAGCATCCAATATTTGCCTTCCCATATTACACACGTCATCAGAAGTTAATCCTCCTAACTGAAGCCATTATTGGAACTGATTTGGACAGGCTTTCCATTTTGTGTGGTTTGAGTCTGGAACACCATGTATTTTATAAATGAAGTGGTATTTTTTTGTGTGTCCATATCAAGCTTTGTGTATGGAAATTTATTTAAAAGCATTCAATTTATTCATTTCTACTGTAAGCTAAACAACAGAGGTATTGGAAAAACTTGGATCACTTCACTGGATAACAATCTATGGCTCCTTGATCAGGGCTGTAAAACACAAGTGGATTTATTGCTTTGGGGCAACATTTGCAATAATTAAACTTCTGGCTTTACTTTTGTATATGTTTATGTCTCACAGCTGGAGTAATACCTGGACTTTTTCTTATAATCCCTTACTTCTAGCCATCAAATATTGTGTCTTCAATCGTTATTTATATTTCCGGATTTATTCGCTGTAAGGTAGGTAATGTGAAGACATGGTAATAAAAGCATGAAACATAAAAATGTTAAATAAGCAGAGAGTTTTTGTTCTGGTAAAATGTAAGTAAACTATCACTGCTACATTTCACTATTCTCAACAGTGTATCAGTATTTAAATCACATATCAGTATTGAAATTCACAGCCATGAGCTGGCTAAAATCATCAGTGGATACAGCCCAAGTGCCTTTCCAGTCTAACACCTTAATATCTTTCTTATATTGTGGTGCTCAAAACTGCACACAAATATTCAAGGTGACACTGCACCAGTGTAGAGCAGGGCAGGACAATCCCCTCTCTCGACCAGCTTGTGATGTTTTGCCTGATGCCCCCCAGGACACAGTTGGCTCTTTTGGCTGCCAGGGCACTGGCTGACTCATATTCAACTTGCCATGAACCAGGACTTCCCAGGTCCCTTTCTGCAGTGTTTCTCTCCAGCCTCTTTTTCCCTAATCTATAAACAGAACCGCTTGCCTCCTCCCAACTGCAGAATGCAGCACTTGCCCTTGTTGAACTTCATACAATCGGTGGTTGCCCATCTCTCTAATTTGTTGAGGCCTCTCTCTGCAGGGCCTTTCTGCCCTCAAAGGAGTCAGCATGTCCTCCTAATTTAGTGTCATTGGCAAACTTACTTAGTAGTCCTTTGAGTTCTGATCCTTGATTCTCAGGACAAGCCAAAATTCACACTAAAAGAATGAGCTTTCATGTGCTGTTTCACAGACCATCTCCTCATGATCTCCAGTAACCTGCTTCCTTCTAAGGAAGCTGGGGAGGAGAAATCTTGGCCTCTCCTCCTTCACAGACCATTTCCTGGACATGCTTTGCCAGGCAAACACTAGGTAGAGGAGAAACTTAAAATATAATATCTGGTGGTTTCAATTTTGCTTGCTTAATCCAAGTTTGGTCTTTGGAAAGGCATAAACACCCTGAAGTCTAAGACAGCCAAGGTCTCTACCAGCTCTTTGCTGAGTTCTCCGCCGGATATTACCGAAGGTTCTTGCAGCTCCCCACTTTTCTGCCTTCTCAGCATTCACAGCTTTTAAAAGCCACGAGGTAAATTGAGATTATGAGTTTAGTCTGTGAAACTACAAGTGGTTTTTTTATGAGATGAAAACAAAACATGTCTTTATATTGTAAAAAAAGCAGGTGGATATTGTCCTATTTCTTTACAACTATCTGGAACAATTTATTTGTTTGGAACAAACTCAGGAGTAAACATTTTTTTGCAGTGGTTTTTCTTGCCACTGAGACCTCTCGAACAACCTTGTGTAACTTAAATTTACAGATATTTATATCAAAGCTTTTCCTGCTCCACTTCTGCTCTTATGCTGAGAATAATTTTAAATTGTTAGTCCTTTCTAGTGGCTTTTTGTACAACTTCAAAATCTACTTTTGGGAATGTCTTAGTAATTTCAGGAGTCTTTCAGACATTTCAAATACTTTCTAAGTGTTTTACTTCGCTTTTTGCATGTATTCACAGGGAAAACATTCAAACAAACCCATGCTGCCACTCTCTCACCTTTGTTCCCAGTATACAGCACACAGGTTATGACTGTAACTTCATCTACTTGCACCCAAGAAAGATGACATTTGTGTTTGTAAGTGCCAGATCTGGCATTTGAGCTTTTGACCTTTCTTATATGCTTGTTGATCACACAGAACAAAGTGGACTTACAAATCTCCCTCGCTCCCCAAACTCAACAAGGTTATGGCAATACTCCTTCTTGGGGCTCTCCCACTCACTTTTTTGCTTGTCCTCATGCTGGTACAGCAGCTTTGTAACTGTCCGCGCATTAGTAGTGTACATCAACATGAAACCTCTTAAAAACATTACATTAGCTTACAAGAGCTATAAATTCCCTATGCATTCTAGACATCTTGCATTCAAGAGTAGTTATAATTTTGCCCCAAATTATATTGCACCAAAAAGTAGTTTTTGTGAATGCTCTGTGGTTATATCCTACTATTTGTACTGAATTTTTAAGTCACGTGTAGGGGTATAGTGGAACATTAGAGGAAAGAAATATTTGGTTTCTGTCATATAACCAGTATATTTCTGTCCATCAATCAAAAGTTAATTTATTTGCTTCCTTTGTGGTACATAACTTCGGTTGTTTCTTTCCTCAGCCTTTGTTTCTCCTAATTCTTACAACTGCTGCCAGTATGTCTTCAAGCAGGTAGGAAGAAGGTACAATTCCTATTGTGCACAGGTAATACGAAGCATCCAATACTTTGAAATTACCCACTCCATTTAAAAATAGTTGAAAGGAGGGGGAGAAAGTGGAAGAACAAATTATTAGCAGCCTGTTTGTCATAGTGCTGATAAAATCTGGAGATATATAAAAGAGGAGAGTTGTTGGAAAAGCAATGGGAGCAATGGGAGGTGATGTCAGCATGGCAGGGTAGGTCAATAATATTCCGTCTGTTTGTTGCTTGCTCTTACTGTTCTTGCATGCCACCAAGCGCTGTTGATCCTAGGTCTTGCCCATTCTCAATGCATCATTGCATCATTGCATCATCCCATATTTTCCCGTTTCCCCAGCTCATCACTTTTATCTTATATCTGTTCAGTGACCTGGGCTACAAAGTCTCAAACACTGCAGCAAAGTCTAGGCGTGGACCTCAGCAAACATCCTTATTCCTTGGGCACATAAGAAAGCTCATCTATGCAGGAGCAAAAGCTTCCTTCTGGGCTGGCTAAAGTGAATCTTTCACCATGAATGTTCTCCACCTTCTGCTGCTGTCTCCAGGCTTCTGGGTTTGCTTGCTTTGGTTCACACATAATTTTCATGACTTATGTCCCACCATTTCTCCTCTTGCTGCAGAATGACAGACTGTCCGCAAAAATTGTCTCAAAGGGCTCTTTTCTGTAGCTGATCCAAGGAAAAGATTTGGCATGCAATACAAGACCAGCAATCTGGAAGCCTGTTTTTGAAAGACACAGTTATTTCAAGAGGATCTGGTCAGCACTCTCTCATATTAAAGAGTCAAAGTGTGATGATTATTCTATAAACATGCAGCAATTCTGTCAAAATCAGTAGAATTGACCTGTATTTTTTTCTTCGTAATATAGACAGATTGAAAAATTGGTGCATATATTTTCTGAGCCCTTTCTAAGAGCACTGACTTGTCAGAACATGAAAGACTTTATCAAGGAATCTTGTTTTCCTTCAGTGATTTGGAAGTGACATTTGCACTAGGCGGGTTCTTACACACTGTTTCAGTTTTATATTCACCTCAAATGCCTAAACCTGCTTTTCTCATTCCTATCTTGAATTAATAAGAAGAAAACATTTTTAGTTCTTCTTAAGGCCCTTGCTTCCTTGCTTTGGTGGAGAAAAGGAGAGAGACTGCATATGGAGTCAGTGACTGCTAAAAGGAATGTATTTTTAGGTACCAAGATACAGTTATATATTTCCTTGAAATGCAAACAAAAATAAGACTAGGCATAACACAGGATACTGGAAAAACAATATATTTAAAAATTGTTGCCTTCCCTAGTAAATCACATCAACACGCACATCACTATTTATACAGAGCCTTTTGCAAAAGCTGATCACTGTGACCAATAATCCCAAATATTATGCCATTCCTGGAGCCCTTTATCACCATTAGGAAGAATCATGTGATGCATTTTGAAAACTTGGAGCTTGATTGCCAATCGGTGTTGGATGTTGAGATTACTTTGGGTTTTTTTTGCTTCTCAGAGCACCACAGGAGACAAAAAAAATTAATTTACATTACCAGCTTAAACATTTACAAAAATCAGATAAAACAGAAAACTGACTAGGTAGACTAATAGCACTATATATCCGATCCCAGACTTCATGCTGCCACAAAAACTAGTTCATTAGAAAGTATTTCTGTAACCTTGGTGTACTTTTCATGACAACAGGGGGTTTTATTCAAGTGAGTGAGCACAGAGGGGAGCACTTGCAGAACTTCTTTTTTGTTCTGATTAGTTATAAAAAAATATTTTGTCAAATTAATTCATACTGAAGGATGGAAATAGTGCTAATGTAAGCCTGGTGGAATTGTTCACTACTGGGACTGTCTCATGCCCTATACATAGGCAAAACTCCAACTCCTGTGTTCAGTATCTGGCCTAAATATATTGGGTTTCACTGAAAAACACAGAAACAGTCTGTTCGTTGTTTTTTTTATCTACTTAATGACTTTAAATGGAAGAGAAAACACCGAGGCATAACTAATGCCCAGATAAGGATAACACAGAATAATAAGTCTTCACATCCAGTAAAAATTATAGAAGTATGAAAGCTAAGAATGCAGTCTTAATGCTACTTCACATTATTTGCTTCTATGATCTTACTCTTTTGCTTCAGTTATTTTACTTTGGACCCCATTTTTTGTAACAGAGAAATGATAAACTAACCTATGCTTTGAGGAGGACTTTGAGACCTATAATGAAAGCTACCATAGAAATTCTACATGTTTCTCTGGTCTAGTTTGATAAGTTTTGGTGAATCATTATCTATTCAAAAGCTCAGTGTAATGCAATGATGGGCAGAGCATCACAGTGGTTATTTGCAATGGGAAAAAGTCATCATATTATAAATAGCGTCTTGTCTTCTATCCATGGAAATAGGTGGGAATTTTGCCAGTAATTTCAGAGGAATTATGTCCTTTCCCATAATCTGCTTTGAAAAATGCACTCAGAGGAGAAGACAAGAGTGATCTAAATACTAAAGGAATGATTCTTATAACAGTATTTGATGTCGTGGCAGTGTCAACACTGGAGACTTGCTTTGTTGTTTCATTCCTAAAAAATATAATCTCTTAGGCTTAATGTCACAGTCATACTAATTTGTGTGTGCATTAACATAGCTTTATCAGATATTTCTAATTGGATCCCTCACAGAAACACAGATTTTTGGTACAGATTTTTTGGAATAGTTTGAATGAACTATTATTTTCCAATATGTTGGCTATATTATGCAACTAGTTCTCAGAGTTCCATTCACTTTGCTTCAGTAAAGCCAGAATCACACTTTGTCCAGCAGCAGAAAATAATGGGTGGGATACTGGATAGGTAAACTATGCCCTTATATCTCAGGGTCAGAGAGTACCTCTACAGGTTCACCCCCAATTTCCTTTCCTTGATGATGTTTGAAGGACATCACTGTTGGAAAGAAGAGGTGAAAATGGATTTAAAGAATGCAGCAAAATGCTTCAGAGGACATCCCTTCTCCGTGCTGGTGACCATGACAAATCCTCCTAGCAAAAGTCACCTTCACAACACAGCAAAAACAGTGCTGAGAGTTTGAGTCAGCTTTCCCTTCTGGTTCATCATCTAC